AATGTCCCTGCCAATGCGGATCTGTGCGCCGGTCGAGGCATACGCCCCCTCGTTCGCGGTGGGATTGAACACGTTTGTCGCTGTCACTGTGATGGACACGTCGCCCGCAATGTCCACGCTGCTGGGCGTGGGCACCGCCGCGATGCTCTGCCCATAGGCATAGATGCCTCGCGTGCCGCTGTTGCCGGCGGGCGCCGCTGTATTGGCATTCGTGATCGACACCCCCGAAAGAGGCTGCGAGTACTGCCCGCCGTCCACCACGGTGATGATGGAGGGCTCGTACTGGCCCTGCCCCACCCAGGCGGTGGTGGCCATGCAGCCTGCGGGTGTGTCGCCTGCGGCGTTCACGTGGCAGGCATCGGCTGCCTGGGCGGCGGGCAGGACCATGGGCGCAAGGCACAGCGCGGCGGCGGCTCTCGCCAGGCGGTGGATTCGGGCTGGGTGTCGTGTCATGGAAAGGGGGGTGTCGGTAAAGGGGCTGATCTTTTCGCAGGCCCCGCCCCGACGCCATTCCCCTGCGGGGTACCCCCAGGTGCTGTCGGTGGCCGTGAACGCAAGTCGCACTTCTACAATTCCGCCAGGGTCGTCCCCATCGTTCTGGGAGGCCCTGCCAAGGGAGCCTCCATGCGACGCCTCGCCGAGAAAAAACGCCACGAACTTGACCTGCTGTGCCGCGCCGGCGTAGGCCTCACGCCCATCGCGCCGGCCGTGTGTCGGCTGGTACGGGAGATCGTGGGGGCCGAGGCCTGTGCCTTGTTCTGGCTCGACGCGCAGGGCCAGCCCGAAGGCTTCTTCCATGAACATGCCCAGCCTGCGGCGCAGGAACTGTTTCTCAACGAATTCGAGCGGCTTTTCCTGGGCCCTGCAGAGATCAACATCACGACGCTGGCGCAGACCCCTGGCGCGCGCATCGGGCGCATGCTGAACGTGCCTGCGTCGTACTACCGCTCCAACACCTACAACCTGCTGGTGCGTGCGAGTGGCCACCATCACACGCTGGACCTGCGCGTGGATGTGCAGGGGCGTGCGCGGGCCGTGTTGATGCTGTTTCGAGCCCGCGAGCAACCTTTTCAAGAGCAGGATGCGGCGTTGCTGAGCCGCATCGAGCCTTATCTGTACCGGGCACTCACAG